AAGTGTTCATTTTAAACCAAAAATATAATATTCTTTACGAATATTCTGTAATAAAATTTAATTTTGATATAAGTGTTCATAAAATTGGATAATACTGAGCAAAACTCGTAAAACATTTGAATTTTTATGAATATTTTTTACGGTAAATGAAGATATATTTTGCTTTTTCTATGATTACTAATAAATTTGTCTTATTTTTCAGATTATCATCAAATGTACAGACAGTTTGGACAAACACCTAAAGATTTTTTTCGATAGCGTTGACAATACAATCAATATTGAAGCAGTGATTCAACTAATTATAAAATATATTAATTATTACCATTACTGCAGTCATTGGCAAACTTTATAAATAAATGTATAGAAAAACACGCAATTGTTTTCAAATATAAACTTACAAATTTTATTTCATTTAATTTATTTGCAAACAAATCGGTTCACGCAATATATTGTAAAATAAATGATAAATTAAATGTAAATTTCATTTCAAATCGCATACAAACAAAAACCATTAATCGCTTGAATACAGAGTGAGAGAGAAAAAAGTGTCATTGAATTGAATGTAAAAATTTTAAAACTACTGTAACTATAATTGAATTCATTATCTAAACACTGATTATAATTATAAATACAGTATTGAATCAATAAACAAAATAACTATCAAAACAAACGCCTAATTAACTGTTAATTAAATGACAAATCGATGGCTAAATCAATGTCCAAAAAAAGTGAACCAAAACTATGGCATCAAATGAATGAATCAATTGATTCACACATCAAGCGATCAATGGCTTCATCTGCGGACAGATATGTATGAATCAAACGGATCCCATAGTACGCTATATATATACACAGACACGAGTGGACAGATACGCTATGGGCACAGGTATGCCATCAATCGTCGTGTTTGTCAGGCGGCGGACCGCACGGCTGTATCATACGCTCCATGAGATTGAATTTGATCCGCTGTTTGGTCTCATTCTCGGCCAACGCGAAGAAGTTGCAGAGGTCGTAGTGGCCGAGGTATGAGGCGATGGAGTCCCGGTGCTGGTTCACCAGCCACTCATATTTGGTGGTGTCCGCGTGCCCGGTGCCGATGTACTTGGACTGCAGGTGCTCTAACTGCGAGTGGATGTTGTATCGCTCGGCCATTACGCTCACCAAACGGATCCGATCGCTGGATTAGGTGTAGATGCGGTGATAGCGTGTCGGCCACCAAATGGTTGTGTCGTTTGATTTGTGATATATTAAGTGCTTTTTGCGATCAAATGTGCGGTTTTTGAGCCCAAAATCGATACACTTTTATGTCAACACTTGGGTCATAACAATGAAGGCGTCTGCGACTAAAATGCGTTATCTGACCACTGGTTATGCTGTCGGTTAACACGTTTTAGATATGTCTGTTGTATTCATGTTGTGGGTTAGACTGACGTGTGTTATGCTTTCATTGCGAATTAGTACCTTTCGTGTCTATACGAAACGATAAATCAAACGGTTGTACTCCATATTTACTATTTAATAGTACCGAAAGTTTTATCCAATTATCGCAATGCAAATCGCAAACACATTGCATAAGCGATGAGTCGATTAAAAAATATAATTTTTATTTTTCACACGTTAATTTATTTTTCGTAAAACATAAATAAATAATTTGTGGTTTGTGATATACAATAATATTGTTCGCGATGTTAGATAAATTAATGTATTTTGAGTATATTTTGATTTGATTTACAGTATAAGTCTGAGAAGTGTCGCCAAATGACAGACAATAATCAAAAAGCGATCAAAAAGTTGTGATACAAATAATTTCTCATATATTTTGTGCTCATTTTTAATAACTAGTGATTAATTGAAAACGAAAAAAGTTTTTTGCATTCAATTTAGCGTTAATTATGACAACAAATATCCGCTGGAAATCACTTCTCATTCATTAGTCTCTCATATAATTCAACATTAAATGTATTGAAGTGTTAGTCAATCAGTGGATCTGTTGTATGGATCGCATGCCACCGTTGCTGAAGATGTTGACCAAACTGACCATTGCGTTGATACTCGTCGTGTACATCGTGTCCACGTTCTTCGCCCTCTTCTTCGACCACTTGAACACCGCCCACGACTTCGGCCACTCGGCCCTGCTGCTCCTGTGGCGAGCGGTATTCTCTATGAGGCGGGTGGTCAGCCACAGGCAGCTATCGCTGCCCCAATGGTAGCTACTGTCAGACGCCGTGTGCAAAACCAAGTAAGTCCATGACTGCTAGGCCCTGTTGTCTCACGTCTTAAGCCATTGTTTTTATTGAATTATCTACTCTTTTGGGATCAGATATCAGATCTTCATCTGAGCGTCCATTTTGGGCCGAAACGAGCGCCAGATTTGGAACAGTTCTGCAAAGAGTATATCGATATCATGAAACCATCCGTAGTGTTGGCCACCGGCGACCTGACAGACGCCCGGACCCGCGATCCCATGGGTTCCCGTGTTTTCGAGGAGGAATGGCTTATGTATTGGAATGCCTTGAATAAGACTAATGTCACCGCAAAGACTATATGGCTGGACATCAAAGGCAATCATGGTTTGTATGAACGAGACAATTGGTGGTGTCGTTTGTGGTGATAATTATCTCTCAGATAAACTATCTGTTGAAGTTACAGATGCCGACCTTGTCAGGGTTGTTGAAGAAGGTCTTCATGAGGTAGTCTCCAGGTTTGTGATGGGCAAGGATATCCATATCGAATTCTGTGCTGTGGCTCTGGTATAACTTCATTGGTGTGGACGCCTGTCTGGACCCGTCGCCCAAACGGCCCTTCAATTTCATTGGTCTACTCAATGATAAGGACATCAGTCGTATAACTCAGATGAAAGCGGCCGCACGTCAAGAGCACAGCAATTATACCATTTGGTTCGGACACTACCCTACCTCATCCATCGCTATGCCCAGCCCTGGACTCCGGGAACTCATTAAGTGAGTCCATAAGTTGCGATAAAACTTTTGGATTTAGTTTTAAACTCAAATTTGTGTCTATTATAGCGGTCCATACCTTTGCGGTCATTACCATACAGTGGGAGGGCTCGTGAATCACATGTATTCCACGCAACCGACCGGTTATCTGGAGCTGGAACTGTCCGACTGGAAAGACTTGCGTACAATCCGTTTGGGAGCCATAGATCACGGCCTCTTCACGTTCATCGACTTCAAGTTCCACGAATGGCCCGTTATTCTGGTGACAAACCCGAAGAACTCGCTGTACTCGATGCCCAACATAGAGCCCTGGCATCGGATCGCCAATTCTACACACATCCGAGCGCTGGTGTTCTCCAAGAGTAAGGTGTCGTCCGTTGAGGTGCGGATCGATGATAGCGACAAATGGCTGGAAATGACGCACATTTCGGGACCACTTTATGTCCATAAATGGCAGCCCAATGAGTATGAAGAGGGTCTCCATTGGATTGAAGTCACGGCTATTGTTAGTAAAAATTGCAATGTTTTGTGAATTTGTTTTATAACTTGTGTGCCATTTATAGGATGTCGACGACAACCGGCGAACTGTTAGACACCAATTCTCTTTGGATGGATCTAAGGGTGACTTTCCGTTTGGCGCACGACTTATGCTGCGGACAGACAATAGAGTGATCGTATGGACTGATCTATAATAGCGTTAAAATAATATCTGTTTTAATACTTGATTGTCTTTTAGGGATACCTTTTATTTGGATTAGCCGTCAGTATCTGTGTCCTACCATTCCTCATATTAAGATTTCTACCAATCAGTAAAGGTATTGAAAGTTATTAATGAATTTTGTGGCGAATTCTGACTTAAATTTTTGTTGTTTTAAGGCAAACATATCATTGAAATATCTGAAAGTAACACAAGTCGACGATTTTTGTTCAAATTATATTTGTTGTCGAATGTAAACAAAGTGTTCATTCCGTTGATAGCTATACCTCTTTACGCCTGTATAGGTTGGTGTCCAATAGTGACCATTAGTTACCACTTCTTATAATTATCTATCCATATATTTGTCCATTAGGTCCGTGGTTTGTGGGCTATGTTTTAGACGATTATATAGGCATCAGTTTCGTGTGGGGTATGCTTATTGATGGCTCGTACCTGCCGGGAGGTATTACCTACGTATTGGGCTCTATATTGCACTCAAACATATAAAATCAACTAACAAGTAATAGACTGTAGGGAAAGGTAAACCATCGATAACAATGAGGTATACGGCTAGCGTTAGACAAATTGCGTATAGTATATGACGGCCGCGGTTGTCGACTATGGCACAAATAGCACCGGATTTGTCAATACTTATTGCCATTTAAGACATTTGTTTTTCATGTTTTTCATCTTATGTCACGTGAGTGGACACGGATTACGGACTAATCCCAGACTTTGAACAAATTTTGAGTTAATTTTGTCGGCAAAACAGGTCCTCTTTTCGTTGAACTTCTACTTCGCGTACGGATTGTTGGCATACGTGTTGGGAATGTTCACCACCTGGTCGTACATCGTGTACATTGTCTTATGGAAGGTGTCGGTGAGTCTGAGCGCACAGTCATTCCCGGAACCGATGCGTCCGAAGTACAGGAAAGCCAAAGATTTTGACGAAATCAGCGAACACTCGAGTCTTACGCGACCGCCCATTAGGAAGTGACCGCACGTTAAGCCTTATAGTGAACTACAGGTGCGGTGATTGTGTTTATGTGTAATTCAGTATAATCAGGGTTCTTTCATAGTTATATACCGGTGTTGTGGTTATGATTATTTTGTTGTTCACTATAAGCGGTTTATGTGTAGAATTATAATTGACTATAAGTTAAATTAATTTACGTTTTGTTAACAAAGTTTATTGAAATATTACTGTACCACGTTGAGTTTAAATATGCGATATTAGGTTTAAAATATTCAAGTTATTTATTATTAAATATTAGGTTTAGAACTGAAATAAAAAAAACATTTTTGTATATTTTATTTTCAATAAAATGACCATTTGATTACTAATTGTTTACTATTTTATGATAAAACTTTTACTATTTAACATACGTTTGCACAGTTTCCTGAAACTATCACATTTCACATACGAATGACTACATTATGATTAAAATACGAATAAATTTCTGCAAAACCCTAATAAAGATAATGTTTGACAATCTTTAACAACAAGAAACTCGTTAAGTGTTTAATGAGTTGCCTGATTACTAAGAAAAATAGCTATATATGATAGACAGCTACTTATTTATATGAATTATTATGATGTTAGTTATACATATTGTTTTTGAGCATCAGTATGAAATAACTATAAATGTAATTGCACATCTATTGGGCAATACTTTATTGTAGTTACATCAGTTCTTATGTCCATGCTCATATTTAATATGTAAGACTGTGTTTATAGCAGTGGTTATACTTTGAGTCATTTATTCATTAAATGCCATAAAATTGTGTTTTAATTGATAGGAAAGTATTGTCTTATAAGTGGAGAGAGAGAGAGAGAGAGAGAGAGAGAATGAATGTCAAAAAAGTCTACCCGAAAGACTCTATGGACCGATTCGGTGATGATTTGTGTCAACACTTATTGTCTTATCTCGAACTCGAAGACCGGTTCCGTACAGAATGTGTGTCCAAACAGTGGCAACGAGTCATATATGAGACACAATCGGGGCTTACATTTGACTCCAAGTGCGGAATCGCGGCATTAATTAGTGACAAAACATTTGATATAATTGTGAGAAAGTGTGCAAACATTACACGAATTCATTACGACTTGGATTCCCATGTGTTTAATAACTCGATGTTTGAGTCAATTATCAAACATTGCGATCATTTGAATGCCATTCATGTTAACAATTACGAGGACTCCAGTGACCAAACACTGAATGAATTTATGGCAAAGTTTGGCAAACAATTGAAATCGTGGACATACTCTGCAGACATGGCGAACGTGAGCGAGATGTACAAATTGTACATGCTGCAAAATGAGAAGTTATGCACCAATTTGACGTGGATCAATCTATTTTGCGACATACGAGACGTACGTCCGGCGTATATATTAAGTGATGATATGAATGAGGTTTTGTTAAAAAGGTTACAATTTCTCGGCTTTGAATACAAGAAGGAAGACATGAATACTATTGAAATAATTGCTGAAAAGTATAGACGAATCGGTAGTTTGAAAGCAATTCACGTAACCGTCGATAAAACATGCGATGAGATGGCCATTGATGTACTGATGACTAGTTTGTCACAAATGCAGTCATTAATTGATTTACAGATTTATTGCTTTCACCCATCAGTTAGTGATTTAATAGTGAATCGATTGAAACAAATCACTCGTGTTTACAGAAAACTTAAGATTTTAACCATTATTTTGATTTTTGATTCAATGGACACGTTTACCCAATTGTTACACACAATTAACACACACTTTAAGCACATTAAAAGTTTACAAATCGCGGCATATCTGCCGCAAAAATATGAAGTAATGAGTGAATCGCTGAATGGATTGAAACGATTGACACATTTATTAATTCAAGATGAAAATAATCACATATATAATCAACAATTTGTGACAAATATTGACAAACATTTACTGAGACTTCAATCCATAAGTCTTAACCGTTTCGTAATAACTGATAGTGTATTGCATTCATTGGCAAAACTGCCTAAAATACAATGCATTCAACTCTATTGCGACAGTAGTTGCCCACAGTATACCCAACAAGGTATTAAAGAATGCCTTGCTAATTGTCCTAAACTTAGGAAATTGACCATTAATTGTGTGGGCTAATTATTATTAGTTATATACCTGTATATAAATAAATAAAATTAATAAATGAATTTCTAGTTTAAACAAAAATTTTCATTTCATACAGAACTGGAAAACAAATATAAGTGTCTAAACTTTAGACTCTAAAGTATATCGACCATGTTAACTCTAGAATATTCTGTATAATGGGGTTTAATCTAATAATTTAGTATTAATATCAATTAATTTATTAAAAATAATATTATGCAGTATTTTAAGGGGTTTCTATTGTATTATTAATATGTAATAATTATTAATTACAGTACTTTATTGTTCACTATAAGCGGTTTATGTGTAGAATTACGAGTATATGTATAATTGACTATAAAAACATTTTTGTATATTTTATTTTCAATGAAATCACCATTTGATTACTAATTGTCTTAAATTACTCCGAAAATTAACTCCGGAAACTTATGATAATTATTAGTATCACTGAAATGCAATGAATATATGATTAAATTATAAATTTCAGTAAAAACTTTAACCATGTTAAATACAGTACAGTATTTGCATTATGAGGTTACTACACAGTTCATGTGGGCAAAAATGTCCATTATTTGTAACATGATATTTGAATGTTATGTAATGCAATACTTTAGGGCAGTTACATAACAGATGCCATATGTATGTGTGCTTTGCAGACAGTGTTCACATTTCATGGCATAAGTCTTTAATTGACATTTATGTCCATTTATTGTCTCATAAGAAGAGAGAAGTGACCACAAGAGGTAGTCATACAATGAATGTTACGAACGTCTATCGCAACGACTCTTTGGACCGATTTGGTGATGATTTGTGTCAACACTTATTGTCTTATCTCGAACTCGAAGACCGGTTCCGATGTGAATGTGTGTCCAAACAGTGGCAGCGATTGGTATATAAGACACAAACAGCTTTTATTGTTGACTCTAAGTGTAAACTATTAATGAGTGACAAAACGTTTGAATTAATTGTAAGAAAGTGTGCAAACATTACAAGAATTGATTATGACTTGGATTCACATATGTTTAATAACTCAATGTTTGAGTCAATCATCAGATATTGCCATCATTTGAGTGATATGTGTGTCAACCAGGACACCGATATAAGCGCGCAAACATTGACTAACTTTTTCGCAAAGTTTGCCAAACAATTGAAGTCATTCATGGACTCCGAGTGGGAAAGCAATGTTAACAAGCAACTTTTCGTCACGAGCCTGAAGTTATGCACGAATTTGTCGCAACTTCATTTGTTTTGCGACCAAGATGATATACATTTGTCGTATGTGTTAAGTGGTGATAGGAATGTGGTGTTGTTTCCGAAATTACAAACTCTTCGCTTTGAATACATGAAGGAAGACGTGAATAGCATTGAAGACGTTGTGAGAGATTACGGCAAAAGTTTGAAAACAATTGAAGTGTATATCGGTTGGGATTGCGATGAGAAAGGAATTCAAGTACTGATGACTGGTTTGTCACAAATGCGAGAACTAATAGATTTGGAAATTATTTGCTTTTATAATCCATTGCTAAGTGACTTAATAGTGAAACAATTGAAACAAATCGGTACTAATTGTGTGAAAATGAAAAGATTTGCTACTTATTTCAAGTGTAATTCAAATGATACATGTAGTCTGTTAATGCATACAATTAATACAAACTTTAAACATTTAAAACGATTGGAAGTGAATGTAAATCTGCCGCAAAACTATGAATTAATGTGTGAATCGCTGAATGGTATAAAACGATTGACACATTTAACACTCTCTAATGATTACAATAAAATATGCAATGAATTGTTTTTATTAAATATTGACAAACATTCACCGAGACTTCAATACATAAGTCTTAATCGTTTAATAATTACGGACCAAGTATTGCATTCATTGGCAAAACTCAAGAAAATACAATTCATTAAACTCTACAAAATTAATTGCATACAAAGTACCCAAAAAGGTATCGATGAATGCCATAAACATTGCCCTAAACTTAGGAAACTGGCCATTGATTGTGTGGACTAATTGCTATGAGTTATAATTTATAAACTTACTGTATATATCAATAAATAAAATATATGAATTTCTAGTTTAAATAAAAATTTTCATTTCATACAAAACAGAAATTGCGTTCAAGTATAACTTTCTACAGTATATTGACCATGTTAACTTACAGAATATTCTGTTTATGGTGGTTAATCTAATAATTTAGTATTAATGTCAATTAATTTATAAAAATAATACCGGTAATATTATTTTATACATAACATGCACTATTTCAAGGGTTCTTTCATACCGGTGTTGTGGTTATATTGAGCTGGAAACTAAGTTCGTATAAAATCGTTATTTTAAAAACTACATTGATTAAAAATAATTTGAAAATATACTTTTTCCATATTTTCAGTTTCTTTCTGTACGCCAATGGACAGACACCTAACTCTCTCTCTCTCCACTTATAAGACAATACTTTCCTATCAATTAAAACACAATTTTATGGCATTTAATGAATAAATGACTCAAAGTATAACCACTGCTACAAACACAGTCTTACATATTAAATATGAGCATGGACATAAGAACTGATGTAAATACAATAAAGTATTGCCTAATAGATGTGCAATTACATTTATAGTTATTTCATACTGATGCTCAAAAACAATATGTATAACTAACATCATAATAATTCATATAAATAAGTAGCTGTCTATCATATATAGCTATCTTTCTTAGTAATCAAGCAACTCATTAAACACTTAACGAGTTTCTTGTTGTTAAAGATTGTCAAACATTATCTTTATTAGGGTTTTGCAGTAATTTATTCGTATTTTAATCATAATGTAGTCATTTGTATGTGAAATGTTATAGTTTCAGGAAACTGTGCAAACGTATGTTAAATAGTAAAAGTTTTATTATAAAATAGTAAACAATTCGTAATCAAATGGTCATTTTATTGAAAATAAAATATACAAAAATGTTTTTTATAATTCAGTTCTAAGCCTAATATTTAATAATAAATAACTTGAATATTTTAAACCTAATATCGCATATTAAACTCAACATGGTACAGTAATATTTCAATAAACTTTGTTAACATAACGTAAATTAATTTTTAACTTATAGTCAATTATAATTCTACACATAAACCGCTTATAGTGAACAACAAAATAATCATAACCACAACACCGGTATATAACTATGAAAGAACCCTGATTATACTGTATTATACATAAACACAATCACCGCACCAGTAGTTCACTATAAGGCTTAACGTGCGGTCACTTCCTAATGGGCGGTCGCGTAAGACTCGAGTGTTCGCTGATTTCGTCAAAATCTTTGGCTTTCCTGTACTTCGGACGCATCGGCTCCGGGAATGACTGTGCGCTCAGACTCACCGACACCTTCCATAAGACAATGTACACGATGTACGACCAGGTGGTGAACATTCCCAACACGTAAGCCAACAATCCGTACGCGAAATAGAAGTTCAACGAAAAGAGGACCTGTTTTGCCGACAAAATTAACTCAAAATTTGTTCAAAATCTGGGATTAGTCCGTAATCCGTGTCCACTCACGTGACATAAGATGAAAAACATGAAAAACAAATGTCTTAAATGGCAATAAGTATTGACAAAACCGGTGCTGTTTGTGCCATAAAGCTGTTGGCGCCGGCAGTATATGATATGCGTTAAACAGATTGCGATCGGCATATGGAGTAACAATAGCTACCAAATGGAAAGGGATGTCAGATAATGAACAATCAACTAAAATATACAAACTCACGAATATAGAGCCCAATACGTAGGTAATACCTCCCGGCAGGTACGAGCCATCAATAAGCATACCCCACACGAAACTGATGCCTATATAATCGTCTAAAACATAGCCCACAAACCACGGACCTAATGGACA